GGACCTATGGCAGTGCAACACTATTTGGCACCTGTACGTGACTACATGTACGATTTTGTGACCATTTTCATCGTCTTAGTTTCAAAGTTCTGCTTCCCTTTGAACTCCTTTACTAGCAGGGACAACTATAATGTATGCAGTTTCACAACAAAATAAAATATAGTACTTGTAGATATTAGTGTAAACAAAGGAGCCTACTCAGAAAAGGGTAACATGAGAAGAAATAATGGCAAAGAGCTGGCAGTCTTAATGAGATCATCTGATAGCTTTAGCAAAGTCAAGTCATATGTACGCCGATCACCATACTAAGCGTTGTTTTTTGTTTGAAGCCCAAAATTAGGTCTTGTAGAGGCGCCATAACGGCCTTGGCCTCCATATTTCTTGCAGGCCGATTCAAATCAAGCCTGCTAGCCTATAAGTATGTAGGCTGGAGGTGTTCTGATATGGAGCGGGCACCAAACCCAACCACTCGCGGAGGAGTGAAGTTTGATGGCATTTTCTTACTCTTGTATCTAGTCCTGCCAATAATTATGTCATCTGTACATCTGCCACCTTAGACTCATGGCAATAGCACAACCACTTTTGCACTAAGAACATCATCCAGTAATGACAAATGACGTGTGTCGCACCCATTTCCCAACCACGACCGTCAATTCTAACCCCATTTCCTGTCGGAGCATTCCCTTTTGCGGGTATATAAACAGGCCCGCCCCCTCAGGGGGCCACTACTCACCCATCTTTGTCGTCGGCGCCACAACCACCCACATCTGCCATGTCGGGGCAGTGGAGACCTCCTAGCGGATCTTTCCCCTGCCAGACCGAAGAGGACCGCGCCAAGAGAAAGTTCTGGGAGAGGGCCTGGTCGTGGTCTAAGTGGGTCAAGGAGGATGCGCTCGACCAGGCTGAATTAACCCTTGGGGATGGAGCGCTTCCCTGCCGCTCACCGCTACCTTGCCTTCATGACAACTACCGGCTTGGCAGAAAGGGAAGCCGCACTCCTAGGGGTGCAATGTTGTAGCTTAGTCCCACAACGAAGACACACATGTGCTCATAGGCCGCCTGACTATGGAAGGGGAAGAACCCAAAGAATCTCGTCTCCGATGTCACTTCCAAATAGAGGAAGAAGCAACACTAGATATTTATGATTGAATAAATTAGTGTAATTTTATTTCATTAGTTGAAATTGTGCTAGTAAGCATTGTGGAAATCAAGTTCAAAGCAAGCTTGAATTTTCTTCAATTTTTGTTGATGAGATGGGGAAGAGAAAGTTCTTATTAGCACATGACAAATGAGTCCCATCAGCAACAAATTTTGGAAGGCTTTCCATATAGTGGCTTTGAGTTCACACATGGACTCTAGAGCCATCTTAATTTATACCGATCGCATCCATAAATTTTTTGAAGATCCAAAATATGGTGTATCTACTAGAGTTGCTCTAAGCTAGCCAAGAAGAAACCAAAATTATTCAACCAGGCTCGGCAATAGGCTCCAACTGGGCATTAAAGGTAGGATGGAGATAATTGGAATACAAAAATTGGGAAATCTATAATATTAATTGATATGGCACATCACGAATGTTAGCTCAAAATGATGGATATGGGTAAGGATAATGAACCGAAAATGAAAGAAAGTGAAGTCTCTCCAACACTTCAAACCAACTGGATTGTTCTGGATACATGTATGTTTATTCACGTTCTTTCATTTTCGACCTCCTCTTTTCATGGGTAACATAGGTGCCCATAACACAGAGGGCAAGGATTTTTAGTATATAGTACTCCCTTTGTCCAATAATATAAGATCGTTTTTGACACTATACTAGTATAAAAAATGCTCTTATATTATGGGGCGCAGGGAGTATATACTTGCATGTCTGCTCATCGGATTATGCCACTGGTTTAGAGATTGGTTGGACATAGACGACAAAATAGAAAAGATTTGAAAATCATGTTATGGGTCTCTTTTTTTTATGCTGCACAAAGTGTTGGTTGTTCTCATGTCTGGTTCACAAAAGGCCAGCGTTTATAGTCAGAAAGGGGGAAACTGACAGTCCTTCTTAGGCTTTCTAGCTTGTCATACTATTTGGCCACACTGCAGGTGCCGAGCAATTTGGTGCGCCTAATGTGTGATGTGTGCCTTCATCGGTGGTTATGGTTAAAGCATGCATGCATGCAGTACGTTGTACAAAATGGCTTTAGCATAAAATGCCAAGATATGTACCTTTTTTCTCCAACAACTGAAAGATGGCTAAAGATTGGTAGATAGTCAACGACTGGATGGTGTGTGCATGCATGTTGGTTGGAACCTGGAAGCAGAATAGCCGAGATCAAGGCTATTACGAACACACACAACATAAACTTGAAGCAATATTGAGTAACAAGCTAGGTTCATACGAACAGTTCACGAAAGTATATTGTCCACTTTGGCTTGATGTCCTCTCTTGCTTCAAATGATCATTCACTGCCGCAGAATCACTTACTAGTGGCAGGCTGAAAAAACTTACCAGTAAGGCAGTAACGAGCAAGATGCCCGCCACTATAACTCATCACTGGTACTACCTTTGTTCTGGTTTACTAGTCCCACTCTTATTTTGTATCAAATTTTGACCATTACTTTAACTAATACAATATAAGTTATACAATGAAAAAAAATTCATTGAAAACTACATTCAAATACGAGTCTAACAATACAACTTTTTCTGGCATGCATTAACGTTTTACTAGTCAATTATTTGTTCAAACTTTGACTCCAAATATGACGGGGACTAGTAAACCCAGATAGAGGTAGTACTTGAGTACAAGGGACGAACTTGTTTTTGGTGCTCGTCACCGATAAGGTCGCAACTATGTGGGTTTCTGCAATAGTGAGTGCTCAAACTAGAGAATTGGTCTACTTTATATTGATCCCATGGCTGCATGGGAGTAAAGTTTTATCGCATCGTCATGGCTAAAGTCCTAAGTATTTTTAATGTTTTCCTCCTGCCCAAGAAGTGACTCCCGACTCCCAGGCGACTAGGTTTTCCCCTCTTGCTGGCGCTGGCACCAGTCAACCTTGCCTCCCATGGCCTGTGGGTCGTGGACATGCAGAGGACCCGGGGCCCTCGCTGGGGGAGGGACACTGCTCTCGTTCTTGTTTGGTTCAGCGTCTCGGTTGGGACTGTGTGGCGGCTATGCCCCTGATAGGAACAATATCTCCCATGCCGAATCCCTGTCCCGGTGGTGAGTCTAGCGTCGTTAGAAGGTGTGCAATGGTGTGTCTCCGTCGGATCTCGTGAAATTTGGTGTGGGTCTTTGCTGGATCTGTTTGAATCAAATCTTTGTTTGTCTTCGGTCATGTCTCTATATGTTTGTTTATTCTGATCTACGCTTCTCTTCATCGGTGATAATTGATGTTCTGGTGTGTTGGTCGTGTGAGGTTTAGCATGATGACTTCTCAACTATCTACTACAAGAAGGTTTGCCCAGCTCCGGCAAGAGGGCAATGACGGCGGCGCGCCTTTGGCTCGCTTTAGTGCACATAGTCATCGCTAGGTGGTCCCCAAACCTGATTGAAATTTTTGCTACTACTGGTGTTCTCAACCATGCCATATGATGAGTAGACTGACAGTTCCTCCATAAACAAAAGGTCCTAAGGGCATCTCCAAAGTCGACCCCCAAAACAAACACGGTATCCATCTGCGTCCTGGTCCAGACCAGTGCATGGACAGTGATGCAGGAGTCGACTATCCAACGATGTTACCTAAATGTCCACCTCTATTTTTTTTGGCAGAACATCTGTCGCGCATGGTGTCCGCCATGGACATCGTTGGTAGGAGGATGGACGATCCTTGGCCGCGGAGGGATCTTGGGAGGCCGACTGCGTCGTCCAAGGAGGCAGGCGCGTTGGTGCAGGCAGCGAACGTTCTACGATGCTTGGGGAGCGGCTGGAAAGGTACAACGACGTCGTTGGACGAGGAGGGTCCAAATGCAAAGAAGGGGGTAGGAGTGGAGTGGAAGAAAGTTTGACAGAGAGGGGATTTG